GAAGCAGCAGCAGAGGAGAGTCCAGATGAGGACGCAGATCAAAGTCATGTTTTTGATGAGGAGGATTTCTATGTCTTCTGTTGTCATGAAGGACAGCTGTCAGTCATCCAGAGTTCAACTCTCAGGAATATAAACTCTCCCAGAGCGCTGGAGCATGGAGCTGCTGATGCAAAGTGGCTCTATGGAAATAATCTAACTCCTATAGAAATTGACATCTATGTAATGGCTTTAAAAAAAAAACCCTCTTTATTTCTGTTTCTCTGATAATGCATTTGACGTATAATGTTGTATCAGTGACAGGTTAAAGGTCTAATTAAAGAGGCTTTGCCAAGAGGGCATCTTCAAAACTCGTCAAATCGTCAAAACTTGCTCTTACTGACTAGGATAACTGTGAAAATCTTGTTAAATAGTCAAGTAGGCTACAAAAAAAGAAAAAAAAGCATCTTATTATAACTTACATTTTCTGTTTATTTAACTTTGCTTTTCACCTTAAACAAAATATCAGTATTTTTGGAGATTTACAGACTTTGTGGGATAACCTCCTAATAATCTATAAACAATCTATTGACATGACTAAACAAGAACTTTTAGAAATAAAACTACAGAAATGTTAAACTTTCTTGTTTTTTTTTATACATTGAATCACAAACTACTGTAAAATCCACACTTTAAATATCCAGAGAAGGTCTCCTAAATGATAGTGTAAACCATGTTGGTAGAAATCTGATGTTTTGTGTGAAACCAAGGAGCCAAAACCAACGCCTAAACAACCTGAATCTCCTCCTCATTGTTTCCTTTGAACTGCTTAACTCTGAAATATCATAATATTTCCAGAGAGAGAGACATGATTCAGCTCTCCAGCAAACATGTCTTCACCCTCCTAGAAGCCAGTAATGGGTTTTAGGGCAAGTGATGTAACGCCAGTGATGTAAGGCTAGTTTGCAGCTGATCGTTCATGAAAACACCAATTCCATATAATTCTCAATGTGTTTGTTGTTCTGCAGGCAATCTGAAGAACACTTGAAGTTTAAATATTTTTCTGACCACTGCTTACTTTGCAACTCAGCTGTTTTTATTTTCTACAAGAATTTGATATAAGTTGGCGCATACAGTTATTGTTTTTTTGTGAAGAAATCCTATTTAGAGTTGCAATGCGGCATCTTGGAGACTGCCATCCCCTGACTACAGCATGAATTTTATTCAAAAGTATTTATAGTTTATGCTTCAAGATTGTCTAACTTAAATGTAATAGAATTTTTTGTTTGGAACTAAATATTTCTTTAACAAACTAAATATAAGTTTGGAACTAAATATTTCTTTAACAAACTAAATATTAGTTTGGAACTAAATATTTCTTTAACAAACTAAATATT